AAGCAACATCATCTGATCTAGCTGGGAGTACATAGAAACGAGCCTGACCACCATCTAATCAACCCCCCCTCCCCCGGAGGGCGACCCTAGCTGACTGACCCCCACTCTTAGCTGCATGAGCGGGTGGTGAAGTAACTGGAGCTGGAGTCGAGGGATGACCCCTCTACTGAGACGGACCCTCAAAAAGACGAGGACACTGCCTCCTCATATGCCCAAACTCTCCATAGTCATAACAACTCCCCGACGCTAGAGATGGGGACTAAAGGGAACACCAAGTTCCAAAATGACTAGCAGATGCACCTAGCATAGAAAAGCCCTGAACTGATGGAGCACGGGACGAACTCTGGGGTGGAAGGGAAATGAGTGATGGGTGGCTTTGATGAGAACTGTGAGAACCCTAACCCAATGATGCCCCACGACAACCTGGACGAGCTAACTAAGCATGCCTAAATGGACGACCTCTGCCATGCTGAAACTGACCCATCAAAGGAGTACTACCAAAGCTACCAGATCCTCAAGGCCTCTTGGCCTCCCTCTCCTCTCGATCCTGGCGATGAACTGACTCAATATCGCGGGGATGTAAATAACCTCCTTAAAAGTAGCACCTGACACTTTCTCCCTAGTCATGAGAATCCTAAGCTAATATGTGAGGCCATCAACGGACCTCCTAATCCTCTCTCGATCTGTGGGAACTAACCAGACTGCATGACGAGCTAACTTACAGAACCACATCTCATACTGTGTCACAGTCATATCTCCCTGACATAACTGCTCAAACTACCTGCGCAGCTCCTCTCTGTGAGATTGTGGCACATACTTCTCCAAAAAGAGAATGGAGAATTATTGCCAGGTAAGGAGCGCTGCACCAACTGGCCTACGCCTCTCATAAGCCTCCCACGAAGTAAAGGCAGCTTCAGAAAATTGAAAAGTAGTAAATGCTACACCACTGGTCTCTAGAATACCTGATGTGCAAAGAATCCTCTAACACTTGTCCATGAAACCCTGGGCATCCTCTCACTCAGTACCCCTGAAAGTTGGAGGCTGAAGTCTACCAAACCTCTCCAATTGACGCTGCTTGTTGTCAGGCATAACTGGTACCACATACTCCTAAGCTAGTGCAACCGGCTGGGCTGGAATCCCTGCACAACCTACTCAAGTGTGCAACCAACGGGAGTCTGAAATCCTCCCCCAGTCTGAGAAGTAGTTGTGGCCGTAGTAACTGCGACTGCCTGAGCCAAACCAGTGCACACTGATAGTATTTGAGCTAGAGCCTCCTGAAGCCTGGAATCACAATAGGCACAGCCGGTGCTTGAGCTGGTGTTGCTGGAGCATCCGCAACTGGGACCTGATCCTGAACTGGGATGGCTGGTGGATCTACAGGTACTGCCCTTGCTGCTGTGCGGGCTACACAACTGCCCCTACCGCGTCTTCAGCCCTTAGTGGCCCCAGCCGGTAGTACTGGTGGTTGTCCATCCTGACCGGTAGCACGTGTCCTCACCATATATGAGAGAATAGAATAACAAATATTTGGTACTAGAATCAACAAATTCGCACGACAAGAATTCAAGAATGAGAAGTTTTCCTAAAAGGTCGGTAGCCTCCCGAGGATAAATACAGACGTCTCTGTATCGATCCGCGAGACTCTACTAAACCGGCTCAAGACTCACGAGACTTATGTAACCTAGGCTCTGATACCAACTTGTTATGATCCTAAATACCCCGGTCGTGATGGTGCCTATAACAATACTAAGCAAGCTAACCTAGACAAGTAACCACAAGGAATTCTTTTTATAAACCATTTTCTAACATGATTAAGTTTCAAATTCTCATAAGAATTACATAAATCAACTGAAATGTGCGTAAAAACAGTACGAAAATATACCAATACAGCCCAACAATTCGGTGTCACAAGTCTATAGCCTCTATATACAACCAATCTGACTGACTAATACATAATAAGCCCCAAAATATAGAAAACAAAGAATTGAAGGAAGAAAGTAGGGCTGCATACGCCGTGCCGCTACCTTGCAGTCTCTAATAAACTCCGATAATGCTGGGGGTCCTCACTCTGCCGCCTGGGCACCTAAATCTACACACAAGGTGCAGGGAGTAACGTCAGTACGCCAACTCAATAAGTAACTAAAGTAAATAAGGCCTGAGTGTAGTGATGAGCAGTTAAAAATCATATATAAGAGTATACAATAGAGTATCAAATCAAACTCAACAGTTTAAAAGCCAATTACTTTGTAAAAACTTCAGTTTCAATTGAAATACTTTGAAATCATTTTCATAGCAGTTTTCAACATAGGCTCGTTATAAAAGAAGAGTGAGAATCAACAAAATATGTCATAAATGTGCCCCTCGGGCAAGGTATCACTCATAAATATAGCCTCTCGGGCAAGCCTCTCAGTCACCCGTGTCTCAGCTCTCGTCACACAGTACCCACACTCCGCAGGTGCGGAAGTGCTTGAGGCAGAATGGTTCTTTTAAAAATCAAGATTTGGCCATCTTCTCTCATATTTTCCTGGTTTGGACGATTCTTGGAGAGTTTCAAGAGGGTATTTTCATCATCAACGATAAGGTAAGCTAATCCCACCTATCTTGAGTTAAATATATCGATTATGTACGGATTTGAGCATGAAATTTGTAGAAACATAAGGTTTGAGGAAAAACCTAGAAAATTCTTATTCTTGGATTTTGACCACGGTTTTGGGTATGAAATTAAGAGAAAAACATGTATTTGAGTTGGTAAAGCTATGAGTAGAATTTATCTTCGAGAAATTTCGGAATTCGGGCACGTGGACCCAAGGGCAATTTAGTAAACTTTTTGATTGGGGTTAGGAATTATTATAAATTAGATTGTAATGAAATTGACCATATATTAATGGATTTGCATAATTATTGGGTAGTTTTAGAGCATTTTGCATTGATTTGAGTCTTCGGAAGAGCATAGAATGCCGGTTATGAATCTTCAGAGCGAGGTGAGTCTCCTTTCTAACCTTGTAAAAGGAGAATTGTCCCCATAAGTGATATAATTGGTTATGTGCTTCTATTTGTGGGGGCTACATACACATGAGGTGACTAGAGTCTGTGCGTAGCTACTATTATGTTTAAGTCCGGGTAGTCTAGGACCCAAAATCATGCTATACATGGTCTATTTGTAATCTTATTGACAGCTTGAATTGCTTAAATCATATCGAATTAGTAAATAAATTTCTAAAAAGATTTAAACTTCATTTTCTTAAATTGTTAAAAGAGAAATGGCTTTTTTGGATAATTGTTCCATGTTGACTTCTTGATTGACTGTCTGTGTGTGTTTATTTTTTAAACAGGTCAAACGCCTCGGTAGATTAAATAGATGCATCTATGGTTCGTGTAGTTCGACCCTCGGTAGTGCACAGTTTAATTATTATTGGATCGGGTCGTACGACCTCGGCATGATATGCACATGCTTGTATTGCTTGCCTGAGAATGTTATATGATAATATTTTCCTTCCCTGTCCAGACATAGTTGATAAGACTAATGAAAAGTAAAGCTTGGAAATCCTTTATTGTTTGAGAAGGGGTTTACCTGCTTTCCGGTTTTATGAGTTACAATTACTATATAAATCTATGATTTTCTCACACTTTCACTATATTATTATTGGACCACTAGCAAGTGTCGAAGTCGACCTCTCGTCTCTAATTCTTCGAGATTAGACGGGATACTTGTTGAGTACACATTGTTTTCGTACTCATGCTACACTTGATATGCATTTTCTAGTGGCCTAGTGGGTGTAGCAGCATGGTTGATATGGAGACTTAGGTGAGCTGCACTTTCCGAGGTGACCCGCAGCTAGCAGAGTCTCTTTCAGATTATGGTATTTACTTTTTGTCCAATTTGTATTCCAGACGGTTGTTGTATTACATTGCTTCCTATAGATAGCTCATGCACTTGTGACACCGGGTTCTGAGATGGTTACATGATTGTTCAATATTAGGTTGGTTAAAATTTCATGGTTATTTCTGTAAATTTCATTATTTATTATTTAATGTATAAAAACGATTTCAATAAATACCAAAATTGGAATTTAATTAAGTATTTTGGTTGGCTTGCCTGATAGCGGTGTCCGGCGCCATCACGACCCTTAGTGATTTTTGGGTCGTGACAACAACCAACCCGATAACACATAATACACCTGAACAAAACAATAGGAAGCAGAAATAGGGGAAATGGAGCGGTAACTCATGACACGACCGGCTGGGTCTTTACAATTTACTTCATCGAAAAGCGAGGTGTTCCCCGGGCTCGGTTTCACCCGTATATAACTGAATCTACCGCATAAATAAATGTATAAATATTCTAATCATGCATTGCCGTAACTACAATCGTATACCGAAAAGCGACTTAAAAATGTGTTGAGATCTTTGGGGTATTCATTAGGGTTGGGCGTTTGGGCAGTTCAGATTAAATATAGAATTTCGGTTTGGATTTTCGGTTTTTGGATTGAAGAAATAACAATCCAAATCCAATCCAAATAAGCTCGGATTAGACCGTATTTTTTAAGTTCGGTTTCGAATTAATCGGGTTGGATATTTTGGATTTTTTGTTTTGAGCTTATAAGTTGACATGTTTCTTCTTTTTACAAAAATTAATATCCAAATGAAGTACACATATTAAATTGCCTGAAAAGTTACTCATTCTCACCGCAATAATCCAAATAAAGTATTCAAGTAATGAAATTACTATTAAGAAAATGCAACAGAGACATTAATACGGCTTATAAGAAGCAGTAATAGTAAAACCATGTCCAAATAGAATGTATTCTAACAGTATCTTAGTAATTAATATTACATCTATGAAATAATATCTAATAGATAGGGTATTTAACTTATTATTATTGACATATAGATAACGTACGAAATATAAAGTATAAAATTTTCGGATTTTCGGATATCCAAAAATCCAAAGTACCAAATCCAACATCCAATCCGAAATCCAAATTATTTAAAAATTAAATCCAAAATCTAATCCGTAATCCGAAAATCCAACCAAAAATTTAAAAGATTCGGATTTCGATTTGGATTTTGAGTTTGCCCAAACTATGCCCACCCCTAGTATTCATTAAGTTAAGATGAACTAGACCTGCGTACTCTTTTTGGAATTGAAATCAAACTTTCCTTGTAAACTATAATGCGCAAACTTTGAGGATACCCTTGTAAGTTGAACTCCTTGGCTTCATTGGAAATAAGATCATAGGAAATAAGAAGTCCACCTTTGTTTTGAAGAAACAATAAGTGATTCTTCCAAATTGTTAGTGGGGATTTGAATGGAGGAGGTCTAATCATGTATTTCTTAGTCCATGAATCGCGTACACCGTAGTCCATCATTATCCATACATCCATTGAATCTTGTGTTAGATCAATCTCGGCATATGAATCGGGGTAACAAATTAATGTTAGGGACTCATTCAAGATTACAAGGCTATAATACTTCCCATCGTAGTCATTGAAAGAATCAGGCATTATCATGGTGCGAAATATCTCAGTACTCATGTCAAAACAAAGAATTACCATTGCGTCATCTATATTTGCATACCAATGAAAGGCTCCTTTATGAAAGATCTCGAAATGTGGCAACCAATGAACTTTAGGAAACTGTTGACCCACACGGAATTCTCTCCAAGAATCAGTGTGCAAATCATAAACCTCAACTTTTTGATCTATCACATCCGGAGACCAATCAGCATCCTTAAAAACTTCTAAAATCCTGATCACTTTGTAGTCATTCCCGATCCAATCAAAACCAAACCCAACACCACCCATAATGGAGAGATTCAAACCCTCTGCGCAAACAAAAGGGCTAGATGGGAGTGGCATGTAATTTCTAGTAGCTGGATTTAACAAGATAATAACTTCAAAATCCGTCAAAACAAGTAAACCATTGCAAGGGCCGACTAGTTCATTATACGCATAGTAATAACTGAAGGTCAGATATGGCGGATCTAGATCTGGAAAGATGGAGTTAAGATCATCGTCATTATCACTGTAAATAATAGATATGACATTTTTTAATCCGTGAGGTTCTACTTTGATGGAGCGACTGAAAAGAATGAATTCGTTTTTTCTGGTTGTAGGGCGATTGAGATGAAGATTGATAAATGTTGAGGATTGTACGAGAGTATACCAAGTTCTGGAGATGCATTTAAATCGTATAAGAGATTTCACTGTGAACTTCAAAAGTATATAAATTACCACATCTTCAGGCAATTTTTTCATAATTCCATCTACCATCATTAATCGCTACAATGCAATGGCGAATGATGTTTCTTTGTCCACAAAAAGCTTTAACAGCTCAGTAACATCATCCTATGAATTGGATGCAAATGCTTATTCCTCGCATATTTACCATCATCAGCTTGCCATTGTGATTTGAGTGTTTTACGGTGCAGCATTTTTCGTTTAGATAGAGTTATTTTATAGCTTGTTTGGATAATTGACTCATTATTCTTTAA